TGCCAGGGTCATCAAGGAGGATGACGGAGCTTTCCCAGTTGCCTTTGATTGGTCAAGAAGGGAGGTGTATTTTCTAATGATTCCCGTCTTCCCGTCAGAGGCGTCTTAAGACTCGCGGCGGGCAAGCGGAGGGCTTTCATCGACTTCTTCAGAGGAGCATCAAGTGATTTGTTCTTTTTACCGTCCAACGTGGTGGAATCAACCCGGCTCAGCAGAAAACAGATCCCAGATCCCAAGTCAACCCTCGGAGAGACGCCTGGAGATTGAAGGAAGTTTGCCTGGAGGGCAAAAGGCGAGGAGGCTTTGTTTGAAATTCCAGAGTTGGGAGAAGTGTAACTCAACTATCCCTCCCTTTCTCTTGTTCTTTCTTTCTCTCTCTCTCCCTTCCTCTCTTCTTCTCCCTCTTCTTCTTTCCTTCTTGCCCTCCCTCCTCTCTCCCTCTCTTCCTCTTCCTCACTTTCTCTGTCCCTCTCTTTCTCCCCATCTCCCTCCCTCTCTCTCCATCTCTCTCTCTCTCTCATTTTCTCTTTCTCTTATTCTTTTTCTCTCCCTTCCCCTCTCTTTCTTTCTCTCCCTTTCTCCCCCTCTCTCTTTCTCTCCCTTGTCTTTCTCTTCCCTTCTCTCCATCTTTCTCTCTCTGCCCCGCTCTCTCCCTTTCTCATTTTCTCTTTCTCTTATTCTCTTTCTCTCTCCCTTTCCCTCTCTTTCTCCCTTTACCTTTCTCTCCCTTTCTCTCTTTCTCTCTATCTTCCTCTTTCTGCCTCTCCCACTTTCTTTCTCCCTCCCTCCCTCTCTTCTACTCCCTCTCCTTCTTTCCTTCTTGCCCTCCCTCCTCTCTCCCTCTCTTCCTCACTTTCTCTGTCCCTCACTTTCTCCCCATCTCCCTCCCTCTCTCTCCATCTCTCTTTCTCTCTCTCATTTTCTCTTTCTCTTATTCTTTTTCTCTCCCTTCCCCGCTCTTTCTTTCTCTCCCTTTCTCCCCCTCTCTCTTTCTCTCCCTTGTCTTTCTCTTCCCTTCTCTCTATCTTTCTCTCTCTGCCCCTCTCTCTCTCTTTCTCATTTTCTCTTTCTCTCTCCCTTTCCCTCTCTTTCTTTCTCTCCCTTTCTCCCCCTCTCTCTTTCTCTCATTTCTCTTTCTCTTCCCTTCTCTCCATCTTTCTCTCTCTGCCCCTCTCTCTCCCTTTCTCATTTTCTCTTTCTCTTATTCTCTTTCTCTCTCCCTTTCCCTCTCTTTCTTTCTCCCTCTACCTTTCTCACCCCTCCTCTCTTCCTCTTTCTGCCTCTCCCACTTTCTTTCTCTCTCCCTCACTTTCTCTCTCCCTCTTTCCTTCTCTTCCTCCCCATCTTCCCCCTTTCTCTCTTTCATTTTCTTTTTCTTATTCTCTTTCTCTCTCCCTTCCCCTCTCTTTCTTTCTCCCTCTACCTTTCTCCCCCTCTCTCTTTCTCTCCCTTCTCTTTCTCTCTCCTTCTCTACTTCTCTCTTTCTCTCTATCTTCCTCTTTCTGGCCCTCTCTCCCACTTTCTTTTTCTCTCTTCCTCTCTCTTCCTCTCTGTTTCTCTCTCTCTCTTATTCTTTCTCTCTTCCTTTCCCTCTTTCTCTCTCTCTCTTCCCTTCTATCATTCTCTCCCTCTCTCTCTTGCTTCCTGTGCCTCAGTTTCCCCACTTTCAAGGCTAGGAACGTCCCACCATCCGAACAATGCCTTTTCAATCCTCGCCAACAGGATCTTTCCCCCCTGTACGAGGCATCGCACAATTGTTCCCCTCCACACCAGTATCTGGTTGTTCCACATCCACAGGAATCCCAGTTGTGCAGTTGGGTCGTTCCAGTTCGTGATTTGTGAGCCCTCCGCCTGGCCGTTAGCCAGATCAGACATTTAATTAACTCCCGCACCCGGGACCAGCAGTTTAGAAAGTGCAAAGCCCCCCCCCCTCCACGGGCGTCTGTCTCCGCCTGCCACTGAGACTTAGCTGAGAGCAGATGTTCCCAGCCTGCTGACCTCCAGATGTTTTTATAGAATTACAAGTCCCAAGATTTGCAAGGCGCAGGGAAATGTAAATCATATGGAAATGTTCTTGCTGGCTTGGCATTCCCGCTTCAAAAGACTCAATTCAGGATCCACTGGGATGGTGTTTTTCAACCTTGCCGATTTTAAGATGGGTGGATTTCCACTCCCAGAATTCCCCAGTCGGCAAGGGTGGACTTCGACTCCCAGAATTCCCCAGTCGGCAAGGGTGGACTTCAACTCCCAGAATTCCCCAGTCGGCAAGGGTCGACTTCAACTCCCAGAATTCCCCAGTCGGCAAGAGTGGACTTCAACTCCCAGAATTCCCCAGTTGGCAAGGGTGGATTTCAACTCCCAGAATTCCCCAGTCGGCAAGGGTGGATTTCAACTCCCAGAATTCCCCAGTCGGCAAGAGTGGACTTCAACTCCCAGAATTCTCCAGTCGGCAAGGGTGGACTTCAACTCCCAGAATTCCCCAGTCAGTGAGGATGACCCAATTCTGGTTAGTTGAGACCAGAATTTGCATTGCTAAATAAGGAGGTTGTTAAGGGAGCTGTTCAGCGAATCCCTGCAGTCTTTAAGTGAATCATGCAGAGGTGCAAAGACAAAGGATGACCTTGGCTTTCTAGGAAGAATGTTGTTATGGCTGCATATCATCTAACTCCGTACAATCCCATTTTCCCACCATAGAAAAGGCATAGCAGAAGAATAGAAAGTGTGGCAGGCCAAAGACCC